CAGCAGCAGCAGCAGCAGCAGCAGTTTGGCATTGAGGCGCAGACACGCCGGAACGGTAAAGGCTCATGGGGTAAGTCTGGGTAGCAGCGGGGTCTTGGGTGCAGAAAGGGGCAGGGGTGGAAACGTTATATGCGCACACGAAAACGTGAACATATAATAAGCGACGTAATGCGAGCTCAAGGACGCGAGCCGAATCAAACAAGAACAAAAACATTTTTTTTGCTGCCTACGCATATTTACGCATACACAAAGAGGAGCGACGAGGAGTGCGGTGTGTCTGTGTCTGTGTTTGTGTTAGAATATGGTTTATACTGCGTATACGTAATGCCGGCAAAATAAAGTATACGCCTGTGATGACGTCGACGCGTAGGCGTCGGAAGTAGGCAACAGCAAGGAAGGAAGTAGACGAAAATGTTGTGCCTACCTCGCTTGATGCTATGCTATGCAAATACTTTAAGTATAAGGATGTGTGCGTGTGTGTGTGTGTGTGTGTGTGTGTGTGTGTGTGTGTGAGTGTGTGTGTGTGCTGAATTTCTATTCATTTAATACACAGAATATGACAGTAAATGTGTGTGACGAGTGCTTAGACATTTATGCGCAGTTAAGCTGATTGAAGATTGTGTGCGATTTCATCTACACATACATACAGATATAGATATATATACATATATATATATATATAGGTATGTGTATATGTTCTATAAGGCATGACTAATATAAACATTAGCAGATTAAGTTGCCTACGACAAGCAACTTTGGCCTTGAGTTAAATGGTCTTTAAATGCTGGAAATGTACTTGGCTTGAGGTTGGCTGGCGGAGATGCTGTTTTCGTCTGTGTTTCTGTTTGGTTTTATCATCATTTGCTTGTTTACATTTATTCTACGTGCTTGCTTAAACTTTTTCTTATCATTTTTGCTTTAACTAAAATGCGAAATTTGTTGTGTTTGATATTTTTGTTCTTATGTCATATTTTTAGACAGTTTCCTGTTTGGATTTATATTTCTTATTTAACTTTGAACGTAAGTTTTTCGATTCATTTAACCCACTTACCTACTTCAGTTACTATTTTTGTTAATCAGGTTTTATATGTTTGTACTTCCTGACTAACTAGCTGCTCAACATTAAATATATAATCTATTCATTAGTGGTTTTCTTTGTACTTTGATTTTTAGTTCTTGTTTATCTTTATATTTTACAGACTTGTTTTTTGTCTATCAAACATATCAGGCAAGTCACAAACTGCTTAAATATTTCTGTTATTGCTCTTCACATTTTCATATTCATCTTTTATCTTGCTTCTAAGATTTCATAGCTAAAGCTGTCAACCAAGAAAATTGGAATTATATTTAAAAATACATCTGACATACGATAATTTATCAATTATTATGATTATATCACTCTACACTCTATCCATCATGCTCACATTACACTTAAACTCTTTTATTTTATGTCTTTTCAAATATTTTCTCCTTAAAGATATACCTTAGAATATATATTTCTGTCAAGCTATTTATGACACTCTATCCATCATACTATTATTACGCTTATATTTTATTTATTTCCGGTCTTCTCAAACGTTTCCTTCTGCTTGTTGTTAACTAACCTTATCCATTACTCAACTTGTCATGTTTTTTACTGAGCTATTTTAAGCTTAGTCATGACTCTTTTTATGGTCACAGTCTTTCAACAGTTTGGCTGGCAAATTTCAGCATGATATCTCAAAATCCAGTTGATATATGGTGCTGAAACACTTGCCAAAGGGTCGCATGTAATATTATGTAATATTTTAATATATATATAGATATATATGCAATCTGTATATGGTACGTGTAAATATGGATTATCAATGCTAGTCGATTGGCACTGTTTGCGATAGGTTCGCATGGGTTTTATTGGAAAGAGCGTTAAATCATCCGTCGCGACATGTTTACTCCTCGAGCAATCAGTGAATGGCTCATTTCCAGATATGTACATATGTACACACGTACATACATATATACATTCATACATAGCTCTACACGAGTCTCCTCTCCCCTCACTTACTGCACCCAATGGCTGCGATGCAATTAGCTGCTTGGCTAATCATCGTGTATTAATGTACAGTGCAAATAACGCTTAATGTGAATTATTATTGTGTTTTGCTCTAATATAAATTGATGCAAGCAAATTTAAAATTATATAGACGACGCTGAGAAAGGTACTTGAGACGATTATTTTCGAAAGAGCTTTGAGTACTCAATTTTAGATGAGGAATTCATTATTTTTGTTGCAGTGTATTGCAGCATGTTGCATTACATTGAGTTGAGTCAGTTGCACGTTGAGTTATGTCGTCGAGCCTCAGTCTGTGGAGTCAGTTACTCAATCCACTCGCTGGCCGATGAACTGCGCCGGCCCCAATGGATGGTGTCCATGTTTGTGTGTGTGATTGCATGTATACACACACGCATGTGTGTGTGTGTGTTAAGTTGCTTGTCTGGCTGCGCACGTGTCCCATTCCCATTCATCAATGCAAGCTGGCAGCTAGATGGCCCATTTCAATGGCTTAAAGCTTCTAGTCCAAAGTCAAATGCATATGTATACATATTTAGCTGCACTTGGCATAGCTTTTACACACACACACACACACACACAGAGAGAGAACCAAATGGCTCAGTTGTGCCGGCTCTTATCGATCCACATCGATCGTTGCCCCAAAATAAAAAAAAAACGCACGCGCTGCGTTTTCGTTTTTGCTGCGTTCTGCGTTCATTGAACGCACTTTCCAGTTTAATTTGTTGTTGCTTTTTTTAAGATACTCTCACAACTCGTTGGATCTTATCATTTTTGGCACGCATTGGGCAAGGCATCAAAGAAGGCAGCTTCTCTGTGTTTAACACTCGATCTATTCTTGGCTTGTTCTCTGTTTATCTATCGATTACTATGCAAACAGTCTTCAAGTAACTTGACATAGATATATATTAAAGGTGTATCGAAGCCAGCCGGATCGGTGCTCTATATTATATAAAGACAGTTCTTGTACAATCTTGTGAGCAGACAAATCCTTAAGCAGATTAGGTCAGGTTAGAAGGTTGTTGGCCAAGGGTGTCTAACTGGCAGAGTATCGATTGATTATGAATTATTATTAGTTGTTGATTATGGTAAGGAACCTTTACTAGTCCTTTACTGAATCGCAACTCCGCACGTAAGCATTGCAATTGAAGTGCAAGTGTATTTCAGATTCGACAATTCAAAAATAACTTTCTTTTGTGTTTTCTGTTAATGCGTTTTTTGTTGTGTTTTTTTTTTATTTTTATTTATTTTTCTTAACTGGCCCACAGATATGCACATAAATACCTTAAATACAACAATAATTTAAGGCAATGACCGAACTCCGGCAAGCTGCAGCAGACGCAGCAGCGATCAATGCACCTTCGCCCAAAGGTGCAACGTCTTGTTGAGTCTCGACTTGAATCGAGTTGTTTGTTTCTTAGTGTACCTGGGTGTGTGTGTGTGTGTTTCTTTCTGGGCATGCAATGACGCACGAAACGCGATCAGAGCAAAAGACCAGACCAACAAGGTATAAGAGGCGGCAGGGGTTTGACGGGCTGGCTGGCAGGCTGGCAGGCTGGCAAACTTGACCAACATGAGGCCATGGCTATTTTTAGACCCGGCTGCAATGTTGAAAATTGGCCCAGGCCAAGTTGTGTTGCCGCCAATTTGCAGCAGCAACAATAACAGCAACAACAACAGCGTCGCCTTAAGCTGCAACAACATTTTCTGATCGGATTTATGCGTGAAGCAAGTTTAACCCGAGGTCAACGCTGCGACAAGAAAAGGGTGGACTGCACTGCACCATTGCGATGCAGTGGTGCAGTTGTGTTGCAGGTGGCTCGCTTACCCATGTAACATGCCAATTTAATAGCGCTTTTCTTACACACACCCACACACAAAACAACACACACACTCGCTGAGTGCGTGTTTGCTCTTTTTTGGTATTGCATTTTCTTGTTGCTGTTTTTGGAACCAGTTCGACGGCTGCGAAAGCGTCGCATATCAACCGTATTTTTGTCTTCATCTCCACTGCCACATTGTGGTTGTGGTTGGGGTTGTTGTTGTTGTTGTTATTTTTATTGTTATTGTTATTTTCGTCTCGCTGCAGACAAATTTATGAGTGTTAAGTGAAGGCCAATAAAATTCTTTTTGTCTGGACTCGTTTCGGGTCTCTTTCCCCCATTTTTATTTATTTTTTTTTTGGTTGGCTGGTCAGCTTTACCTTTGTACATTTCCATTGCGTCTTTTGGTTCTTTTGCTTACGGAAAGGAAAAAACGATTTATATATTAATTGCATCCGTTGCTGTCAAAAGTGCCTCAAATGTTATACGAAAATTAATTCGTTGAAAAATAAATAAGAAAACTCACGCCGAAGATTATATACTCTCGCAAGCCGCACGTCAACCTGTCCACATCTAAATTTCAATATAAAAAGTTACAAAATCGATGCTATGAAAGCTATATGTTGACTTTGATCCTTTAAAGTTGGCAAAGAATAAAGTTGTCCGTGCAAAAAGACGTCCTTCGACCGATTGTTTCTATGACAGCTCTGTGAGATTGGTTTTAGATTAGAAGCAGACAGGCTAAATCATGGCTAAATCAGTTCGGCTGCGAATACTCATCAAGAATATATATATATATACTCATTCCTTGTGTTCCAAATTACACGACAAAATGGTGTAGTTATTTATTTTATTTATTTATTAATTAGTCTTCAAACTAAACATGAAGCTAATTTTAATGATCATGTGTTTAAGTGGCGTATAAATGCGATTTGATCCTAGATAGAGGCAATAATTAATATTATGATTTGGTAAATGAAAAGCTAACCTGTCACCTCATTTGCGACGCAACAATATGAGGGAAACGTTGTTATGGTTTTGCTGCTTAAGTGTTCTAACTGTATGAACATCTGGTATGGTATTCGAGTGTTATTCAGTTTAAAGTAAGGGTGCTCTTTGATTTTTAGTGTGTGGCTCATGTGACATTCACGAATCTGAAGTGCAATGCCACAGACAGGAATATTGGCGAGTTTGACTATTGTTATATCAAGGCTGTGAATCGTACTCACAAATACGTCAGTGTGTACTTTAAACTCTATCAAAGGCCCTTATCTAATATTACGGTGAGTGCCCCTCCTAGTCAAATACAGTTCCTCCTGTCTAATATATTGTTTGTTACAGCTTAACATTAAGGTCTTTCGCAAGAGTAATGGATATCAACCATTTATTCCTACTATCAACATTGATCTTTGCAAGTTTCTGATAAATCAGAAACATCCCTTCATGATAATATTCTACAAAATTACGAAGCAGTACTCAAATATTAATCACACATGTCCTTATATTGTGAGTAACATCGCATTATTAACTCTAGCATTTCAAATATATATTTTCTTCTTAGACCGACGTATATGTTGACAAGATGTATACGGGAAATTTGGAATCGGATTTTATGCGATATATACCCATACCTGAAGGGGACTATCTGATTCGCCTTGAATTTCAATACAACAAAGCGGAGTATCTCAACATTAGTCTATACAGTAAAGTTTTGAAATAAATTGGACCCAGCGATACACTCAGCGAAGTCCATTGAAATTTGTTCAAATGTTCATAAATAAAATACGAATATCAAGTTTATTGCATTGTATTGATTGTATTGTAACCTATCAATTGATATATCATCCCGGACTTATTAATGATGAACTGTAAAAATTCCATAAAAGCACAGATCTTAAGAGCTCTTCCATTCTTTGGCGAGAAGGAACTATCGGAAATTTGAAAAAATCTAAGCAAATCTAGATGTTCCTTTCGTTTCCCAAATTAAAATTTGCTACATCAGACTCGCGTACATAAATTGTAGATTGAATGTTCCACTCTTTTGGGCATGCACAATGTTAAGTGTCAAAAAACTTTGAAACTATAATTAAATAGCGATTATTACAATATAATTGCGCCTAGGGACCGTGCAAATACTTTTCGATCATAGATTATTATTGCTGAAATGAATGAAAAACAACGTTTTTGTAACAATAAACGTTTGATTTCTCATTTAATGTCAACAACATGTGGAAAAAGTTGATTTTTTGCTGTTGCGTTGGTGTTCTAACGGTAAGGCTGGCAAAAGTCCTTAAGTGCATTCACGTTAAGTCCAGAGTTCTATTTGATTTTCAGTGTGTGGCTCATGTGACATTCACGAATCTGAAGTGCACTGAAAAGAACAGGAAAATTGGCGAGTTTGACTATTGTTATATCAAGGCTGTGAATCGTACTCACAAATACATCAGTCTGTACTATAAACTCTATGAAAGGCCCTTATCTAATATTACGGTGAGTGTCCTTCCTAGTCAAATACAGTTCCTCCTGTCTAATATATTGTTTGTTACAGCTTAACATTAAGCTCTTTCGCAATAGTAATGGCTATAAGCCATTTTTCATTGATTTTGTCGTTGATGCCTGCCAGTTTTTAAAACGTCAGGATAATCCCATCATTCAAATATTCTACGAAATTTTGTTGGAGTATTCCAACATGAATCACACATGTCCTTATTCTGTGAGTAGCCTCAAAATTGTTTGTCAGCATTTTCACTATATTTTTTCTTTTTCTCAGGAGGACATATTTGTTGACAAATTTTATACGGGCAATATTGAATCTCAATTTATCCGATATATACCCGTGCCTGATGGCGAATATATCATTTGCTATAACTTTCTAGTCAAAAAATTAGAGGCAAGCAACGTTTGCATATACTTAAAAGTTTTAAAATAAAAATGGACCCAGCGACACATACGGCGGAAAAGCCTTCAAATTTTGAATATATTTTATTGTTAACAGCATTTTATTTAAGTCTACCTGTACCATTCACAAAATCAATCAATTAATATCAATAAAATACACATTTGAAATAAAAATAATCGTCTTATTGATATACCTAGACATATCAAAGACATCAATGATCAATTCGTAAGAATTTCATTGAGAAGCACATATTTTATGAGCTCGTTCATTCTTTCGCGGAGTATTTTATAGAAGAGTTAAGAGCTTTAAGCAAAGGCGAGCTTAACTGGTATCAGTGAAAAGAGAAATTGTAAATTTGACCCATCCTGAACCCTTCTTGAAAGGCAAGTAATTCTCTTCACTAGCATCGGCTAATGAGTAATTTTAGCTTCGAAATTACAGCTAAATTTCAAACTCTACTTGGCAATGATTACAATATTAGTGCGTTTAAATGGCGTATAATTACGTTCCAATCTTACAATAGATTATGCAATTACCGGTTGAATGATTTGATATAAACTCATTTAGAAAAACCAAAGGTTGATTGTTCATTTCATTTTATCAACATGTGGAAAAAGATCATATTTTGCTGTTTCGTTGGTTTTCTAACGGTAAGGTTGGCAAAGATCCTTAAGTGCATTCACGTTAAGTCCAGAGTTCTATTTGATTTTTAGTGTGTGGCTCATGTGACATTCACGAATCTGAAGTGCAATGCCACGGACAGGAAAATTGGCGAGTTTGACTATTGTTACATCAAGGCTGTGAATCGTACTCACAAATACGTCAGTCTGTACTATAAACTCTATGAAAGGCCCATAACTCAAATTAAGGTGTGTGGCCCTCTTAGTCAATTACAGTTCCTCCTGTCCTATATATTGTTTGTTACAGCTCAACATTAAGATCTTTCGCAAAAGTAACGGCTATCAATCATTTGCTCCTAATTTGAAAATTGATATTTGCAAGTTTCTAATAAATCAGAAACATCCCATCATGATAATATTCTACAAAATTGCGCAGCAGTACTCAAACATGAATCACACATGTCCTTATATTGTGAGTAACATCGCATTATTAATTCTAGCATTTCAAATATATATTTTCTTCTTAGACCGATGTATATCTTGACAAGCTGTATACGGGAAATTTGGAAATGGATTTTGGCCGATATATACCCCTGCTTGAAGGCGACTATGCGCTTTGCTTTCACTTTGAAACCAACAAAGTTGAGTCATCCAACGTTTGCCTATACTGTAATATTTCGAAATAAAAATGGACCCAGTGACACACACAGCGAAGAAGCCTTTAAATTTGGAATATATTTTCTTATTTACTGCATTTTATTGAAGTCTACCTGTTCCTTTGGCGAATATCTATACAAAATCGATCAACCAATAGCAATAAAGTACACAATTAAAATCAATATAATCTTCCAATAGATATATAATATTCCCAGATATATCAAAGATCAAATCGTAAATATTTCATCTAGATCGGATGAGAAGCACATATTTTATGAGCTCGATCATTCTTTCGCAGATTATTTCATAGAAGAGTTAAGAGCTCTAAGCAAATGCGAGTTTCCCATCCTGGACCATTCTTTAAAGGCAATTAATTCTCTTCGGATTATACATAATTTTAGCTTCGAAAATATAGTTCGATTTCAAACTCCACTTAGCAATGGTTACAGTATTATTGCGTTTAAATAGCGTGTAAATACGTTTCGATCTTGTTTAAGATAGTTACCATTATCGGTTGAATGATTTGATATTTAATAAACCCTTGTTGCAAAAACAAAAATGTTACTGTTTATTTCAATTCAACAACATGTGGAAAAAGTTGATTTTTTGCTGTTGCGTTGGTTTTCTAACGGTAAGGCACGCAAAAGTCCTTAAGTGCATTCACGTTAAGTCCAGAGTTCTATTTGATTTTCAGTGTGTGGCTCATTTAACATACACCAACCTGAAGTGCAATTCCTCAAACAGGAATATTGGCGAGTTTGACTATTGTTACATCAAGGCTGTGAATCGTACTTACAAATACATCAGTCTGTACTATAAACTCTATAAAAGGCCCTTATCTAATATTACGGTGAGTGTTCCTCTTAGTCAAATACAGTTCCTCCTGTCTTATATATTATTTGTTCAGCTTAACATTCAGATGTTGCGCAAAAGTAATGGCTATAAACCATTTACTCCTAATTTGGAAGTTGATATTTGCAAGTTTCTACAAAATCAGAGAAATCCCATCATGGCGATATTCTACAAAAGTCTAAAGCAGTTTTCAAACTTGAATCACACATGTCCTTATATTGTGAGTAACATCTCATTATTAATTTTAGCATTTTAAATATATATTTTCTTCTTAGACTGACGTATATGTTGACAAAATGCATCCCGCAAATTTTGAATCGGATTTCGGCCGATATATACCCATACCTGAAGGCGACTATGCGCTTTGCTTTCACTTTCTAGCTAAAAAGGTAGAGATATGCAACGTTTGCATATTCTGTACAATTTTCAATTAAAAAGGGACCAAGCGACACACACGGCGGAAAACCCTTTACATTTTTAATATATTTTCTTGTTTACTGCACTTTATTGAAATGTATGTTCAACTGTTAATAGTGAAAAGACAGATTGTAAATTGGAGCTACTCTAGATCCTTGATTAAAGGCCGGTTAGTCATCTTCCAAAATATCTTCTGGTACCTACGGATTATACGTAATATTACTTAGAAATTTGTAGCTTTTATTTAATACACTACTTGGCGATTATTATAATATTATAATACGCTATTAAATAGCGTATAAATGCGATTCGATCTTCATTTCACTTTTGATGCATGTATATATACATATATTTCTTCTCAGGAAGACATTTATTTTGGCAAATTCTATACGGCAAATATTGAATCGGAGTATAGTCGATATATACCCATATCTGATGGTGAACATTCCACTTGCCTATACTTTCAAGTCAACAAAGTGGCCAAATGGTGTCTGTAAATGAAGATATTTAAATAAATGAATAGCCAGCAAAAAGCCATTCTCTAAATCGCACTGAAAGAATTGTAGATTTCATTCATAGTTTTATTTGAATATTTGAGTGTTATTATAGGTAAGACTTCAGTTCCTGGTATCGACTAGTTGATGTCTCTGAGTGTATGCGTCTTACCATTAATTAAAACTGAAAGCAGCTCAGGGACAACATCAGCTCCAAGTATTTTATGGCCATCAGTTTGCTTCGTTGAAGAACACGACAGCACATCAATAATAAATTAAGCATGTTTCGTCTTCCTCAGTCCAATTTTCTTTAACGATGACCTAGAATATGAAATTCGTGCAACTCCCCAAAGTGTCAGGAGTAGCCAGGAGTCACTCCAGCCAAGTTAATCGCTTGGGTAAATAGTTTACCCTGACAGCAACAGCAGCAGCAGCTGAAGCTGATGGCCATGGCTCTCTAAGCTCCAACTGTCTCCCTGTCTTTCTGTTGGAATTGCGTAACGAGTCGGGATACCCAGAAAGAGAGAGAGAGAGTGAGGGAGGAAGAAGAGAGAGAGAGAAACAGAGCAGCAGAAAAAGGGACTTTCTGGCTTTGCTGTTTAGCCTGTCGGATTAAAAATAATATGCCCAGGTGCGCCAATTCGAACATTTTGTCAGTTAGCCACGTCTGCAAGCCAAGGCTAACCTGTGAGTTTTCTGCTGAAACGTGCAGATCAGATCTGCTAAGGAAAGAAGCCAAGTTTAGCATGTTCCTAACTTGTGTGCTGGAAGTTCTCAACGTATAAGCAACATATACTTAATAGTGGAGCAATCCAATCCAATTGTGTACCGTTTAGTTGCTCAATTCACTAGAGGAGGACTTAACACATCAATTCAGTTCAGTTTGTGCAACTGCCTTGAAACTCATACTTGGCTTGCAATAATTAAGACAATTTTGCCATGTTAAGCGAGCTCTTGTTGTCTTTGTGGTTAAATGAAGCGCAAACTGATTGCATTCGCCATGTCCATTCGTATTGGCCATAAGGACATTTTGCCGCGCTGACATGTTGTAACCATATTGCTGTGGCCTGTGGCATGCGGCGTGTACACACAAGCCCTTATTACCAACTTACCAACTGGGCAACTGGCTCGTTAGACTTGGCCAACACACATACAGATAGAGAGAGAGAGAGAGAGAGAGAGAGAGTGGGAGAGAGTGGGAGAAGTGCATAGGCGGCAACTACAAAGCAGACAGGAACGATGACGACGACGACGACAACATCGAGGAGGACGGTATCTTCTGGCATACACTGATAGCAGCAGCAGCAGCAGCAGCAGTCATCCACAAGCGGCAAACCTCACAAAAGCAAAGACGACGACGGCGGTGCAGCGTTACTTGTGCTGCATAGTGGGTTGAAATCGACACACGCACAGATGTCGCAACGCTTTGAAGATTTCTTTAGTTTTCGTTTTCGTTTTCGTTTTTTTCTTTTTCTTTTTTGTTTGTGTAGTTTGAGCCTGGCTTTTGGCGATGCCGATGCCGATGCCGCGTTTCGAATTGCAATCGGCCAGGCAAATGAGCAACGAACCGTTTCAGCAGCAACCCCAAAACACCCTCCAGACACCCCGCTCAAGCGTCACAGGTGTGTGTGTGTGTTAATTGCATTAAAATGTTTGTAATTGCAATGCGGCTTCATCAGCTCGCATCAACAGCAGCAGCAACAGCAACAGCAGCAACAGCAACAGCAGCAGCAGCAACAGCAGTCTTATCGCTTCGAGCAAATCTGTGCACATTTAAAAATGCCATAGATGCCGCCTCATGAAAGAGAGTCTGCATCGAGTCGTGTCGTAACTATAATTGCCATAATAACATAATATCAGAGCGGTTGCAGTTGCAGTTGGTTTTTGTAGCAGCTGCAGCGATGCGCCATACCACAGATCCAACCAAGCACATGGTAAAAGGTGTCGTTTATTGTCACACAAATGCCGCCAGCCACTGAACACTGAACGAGGCAAGGTGGCATAGAGCTCGAAGTACACACACAGATTCAAGACATTTTCCTATTCGTAAATATATTATATACATGAAAAAGAAAACCTTTTTTAGAAAATTCAAGCGGGTCCAATCGTAGGAGGTTTCAGAATAATACTCATATGGATTAATATTTGTTTATTTTGTGCTCTGCTGTAAGGTTTGAATTGTTTATTTGTATATTTGCATTTCAGCTATAGTTTTCAAAATTAATGTCATGTGGTAAAGTGTGACCAGTTAAAGTGTTTTTTAATACATATTTTTTGGTTTGTTCTTGCAATGAGTGATGAGGATAGTAGGCGCTTGCCTCGTTGGTGGTCAGGTGGTGTTTGTTCCGCAATTGCGGTGACAACAACCCATCCCCTTGATCTAGTAAAAGTTCAACTGCAGACACAGAAAGTCAAGGTGCCCGTTTCGGAGATAATCGCTAATACATACAAAAACTCGGGTAAGGTAAAGAAGCAAAAGCATACGCCACAAAATAATGCATGTTGTATACTTTTCAACTATCTGTCGACTTAGGAATTTTGGGTTTTTACAATGGCATTTCGGCTGCCTGGTTTCGACAGCTCACCTATACAACAGCCCGGTTTGCTCTGTACGAGTATGGGAAACAATTTGTGGATGCAAACAATATGAGCGCCAAGGTTCAGCTGGCAACGTTTGCGGGCATCCTTGGGGGAATCGTTGGTGTACCAGGTGATGTTGTCACAGTCCGATTACAAAACGATAATAAGCTGCCAGTGGAACAGCGACGCAAGTAAGCATACCTGTTATAAATGAATATATCAATATATATGCATATACTACATATTACACTACTTGCATGTACCTTGAGAAAAAAGTGTTTTCTAGTCAGTTGTCGGGACTGCTCTGCAGCCATAACTTTGCCAAAAGTGATCCGATTTTCCAATTCCATGATTTTCTGATCATGGCTCTTTAAATAAATTCAAAGCTGTAAACGCTTTTCTGCCTCAATTTCTATTGAAAAGCCGTGATTATGGCTGCAAATTCATATTGAACTTTTACTTTGTTGGGGTACATTCAAAAGATAGAAATGTTTGAAACTCTGCCCAATCTATTGTCATATACCCGTCATTAGCTACAAGCACATATTCGATGGCCTGTATCGCATTGCACAGGAGGAGGGTATTCAGAGTCTGTTTCGGGGTACGCTGCCAGCTCTAACACGTGCCGTACTCCTAACGATCGGGACAAACGGTGCCTACGATCAGGTTAAGCAGATGCTGCAGGACAGCTTCGATTTCAGAGAGGGTCTTGCACTGCATTTCATAACATCAACGGTAGCTGGATTTATTGGAACACTGATGACACAACCGATTGATGTGATTAAAACCACGTATATGAACGCAAGACCCGGCGAATATAGTGGATTGGGTGCTGTAGCGGCTAGCATTGCCAAACAGGGACCTCTAGCATTCTACAAGGGATTTGTACCCGCCCTGATGCGGGTCAGTCCCAATACGATAATTACGTTTATGTTGTACGAGCAGGCGCGATTGCATTTTGGATACTTGCCACCGAGGGATAACAAATAATTTCAGTAAAGTTGAGTAAATGTTACCAAATATATATCTGGAGTTGAGGCATTTCCCACGAAACCGACTGGAGTTGAGTATGGAGCTGACTTTTCCGCATGTTTGGACTGCGTCTAAGTGTCTCTGGTCGCTGGTCTCTGGTCTTGAAGTCGTCGGCTTCGTTTTGTTTGTACGGTTCACGTTCGCTAGTTATCTGTCCGAAGCTCTCCATTTGGTGCAGTTGACTGTCTGGACTGTTGCGACCGCCGCCCCCTGTGCTGTCCCGCTGGCCTGTCTGTCTTGTTTGTCAAAGAGAAACAGTTAAATGCCAGTTTACCAGTTAAATCGGAATCAAAGCGAAAACAATGACACAGTAGCAAAGCGAGAGCGACTACGAATGCAAGAATGCGTCAGACAGAGAGAGAGAGAGAGAGAGTCTGAACACGACCTGCTCGACAAATGGCAAGTGAAGTAACAACAACAACTGCAACAACAACGACAACAAGCAGCGGCAGCGGCAGCAGCAGCAACAAAAAAAATCGTCTAGACACAGACTAGACTCCATAAAAATAATTATTATCGGTTGCAATTTCTGTGCCTCTGTGCGCCTCGACGACTGCTCCGACTGCTCCGACTGCTCCGACTGCTCCGACTCCCACCCACATTTTCCAAGTTCCCCTTTCGTAATTTTGCTGCTCCATACGAGTTGAGCGTTGAGGGGAATATCGCAGAACATCATCGCCATCATTTGATTTCATCTGCTTCAGATTACAATTGCAGTTTTTTATTGCACACCAATCGATGTGCTCCCTCGCAACTCGTTACAGAAGTTATGGGCTATTTATCAGGAAGAAGGAAAACCATTTGCGATTGATATAACTACTGAAAGTCAGATGCTGATCAAAGGTGTTGCCCCTTATCCTATCACCCACATCAAATTCGTTGAAGTGTTCACTGGATGCATGTCATATCTCATATATGTCAATTATTTTATTGAGAGCGATTAGCTGCTTCAATAAATAAATACCACTCGTATCTTTTGAGTATGCGTGTTCTGTTCAATTTGCTTTTCAAATTTGATAGAATCGCAGTTCTATATTTAATTTAAATATATGCAAATAGGATCGATCTGCTGTCGTTCAACCGAATCGTGATTCGGTTCTGTGGCTCAGGCTCTATATTTAAAACGGTAAGTTTGCAGTTTTTACCCTGGAAAATGTTATATTGAATATCGTAGCTTTGCAAAAGTCGCCTAGGGTATTCAATTTTCGGCGCCACAAAATTGCATAGTGTTTTGAAAACAATTCAAGAGCGTAATTGCATTTATTGTCAAACAAAAGCGGGCGAGGGGGGAGGGTTAAGAGAGGCAGCTCAATGCTGGACAGGAGGGCTGTATTTGGTCAGCAGCAGAGGCAGCAAGGGGGAGGAGTGGTCAGCAGGCAGGCGGACAGGATGGATATGTTTGATATGCTGTCGTCACGCATCGCTGAGCATGCAACATGCCGACATCAACAACAGCAACAATAGCAACAACTTTGACAGCGACAACTTTGGTGCGACAAGAACGACAGCAATGTGGAGCAAGGAAATATGCGACACAGACAGCAGGAGCAGGAGCAGGAGTAGCAGGGGCAACAGGGGGTATGGGGAAAACAGGCGGCAGGTAATTGCCACAATTTGCTCGTTGCGTGAATGGACAGCAGACGGAAGAAAGGGGTGCAAAAGGACAACAACTTCCGTCAATGGTTGCCTTCGGGGCAGGCTTTTTTTCTCTTTTTTTTTGTGTATATTTTTATTTCAAAAACATTTTTTTATTTTCATGTGCTTGCCGCTGGTGCGCCGCCTTCTGTCATATTTGAGGTGCGCATAAGGGCACTCAACGCCGCCATAAATCAACTGCCAACTGCACTTCTGATCTAAGGCTGTCAACCGACGCACCACCACCACTGAACCGCTGAACCACCAAGCCAAGCCAGCGAGCCGCCAAAGCTTGGCAAACGACAGCGACAACTCTTTAGGCCATAACTTTACAGACGTCGAATAGAGACGCGGGTCGCGGGTCGCGGGTCGCGGGACAGGGTTTGTGCTGATGTGCTTGTTGGCCGGTTTCACCTGAGCTTGGGCCAAACAGCTACTACCTCGCTACCCTATCCCCCCTTCTCGCACGTCTCGCTACACCTTATCTTGCTCTTATGTCTAGACTACAGACTACAGACGTTGTCTGTCGTTGCAGCCGCAGCAACAGGAAACAGCAGACTGCAGACTGCAGACAGCAGACAACTGTGACAGCTCGAAGCAGAGCAGCAGCTACACCAACTGCAACAGTAGTGCCAACAACAACAACAACAACAACAATGAGAACGGGAACAACCAACGTACCTGTGTCCGGCGTTTTTCAAATGAGCCAACAATTCTCAGCTGTCAATAATGTCTGTCATTGTTGTCCGCTGCTGTTCACCCTTTCCACAGACTATCTCTGCTAGAATTGGACTTGTGTTTTCTTTCGTGACACGACCACGAACTAATAGAATACGGTTTGATTTAAGAGTATTAAATGAAACATGGCCTAAACGATATACCGATTGCAATTTAGAACAGCAACTCAACATTATTTTAATAACCAATTACCAATTACAGCAAACGCTATTAATAGTCCATGTTGTACCATATCGGAACTGAGTATCAACCATAATTTGCACAATTTACTTACCAGAAATAACTTTCAAATTTTGAAAACATGCATCCATCTCAAATATCTGTCATTTCAGGTACCCAAATCCTGGCTATCTCCAATGCCTGTCCCTGCTGCTAGTCATTAAGTTGTGTCCTAAAAATTTCCGTAATGCATGCAGTTCCAAAGTTAAGTCCTTGGGCAAACCGGCAAAAGTTCTAATCCTTTGGAAATTGAGTTGTAAAATGACAACTTTGTTTGCGGCGGATAGGTAAAGCTTTTGCTTTTGGTGGGAGTAGTAGTAAAAATCCGTGCAATGCAATGCACACACATGTTTGGGTCTTAAAAAGTCGCCATCCCTTTGGCTGCCACCTACAGGGGAGTAAGAAGTGGGGCGAGGCTGTGGCCATTTGGCGTTCCGCTTAATTATTCAAAACCATGTCATGTCTCTGTATAATTTTATGCATTGGCCAATGCGAGCGCCAGTGCTCAACCACGTTGATGATGACGATGACGATGATGATGATGATGACGAGGGGCTGACGCCTACACAGTCAGACGAGGCAGACAGACAGACAGATGGATAGACGAACGAACGGACAGGGAGGGACGGCAGACAAGAGTCAGACATTGCAGCAGCAAAGCTACAACTGCAACACTCGCAGAAAAAACGGGTTAAGGCAAAAACACCAGCAACCAGACCAGGTAATGAAAGTCAGTTGATCTTACTCATTTTGCGATAGTTCTTTTTAATCTAGCAGTTCTTAAAACCAAATCAAGTCTGATTAGATCTTAAAAAATACCTTAATCTGAATCAGGAATTTGAGCCAGAACCAGTGGCAGGGGAACACAGATGATTAAAGCGTAGTAGTTCTGTATAAACCGTTGGTAGGTGTGTTTTTCTGCAAGTGTACAATCATACAAACACAGACACCAAGTGGGCAACCCAGAAGGAGCCACATGTGGCAATCACGAAACGTAGTGCCGTTACCCACACTTGCAGACAGACACACACACACACACACATACATACATATATGCATATGTATGTATGTGCATACAAACTGTTGTGTGGCAAGAGTGAGAGCGTGGCATACCAGACAGTCTGACGCTGTTGGAGCCCACGTAGAGCGCAGCCACTCAGTGAGTCGTCGCTCAGACTTGTTGTTGTTGCTGCTGCTGGCCAGCCAGCCAGCCAGCCAGGTCTCTGTCTGTCTGGACGACAGCAGCAGCAGCAGCAGCAGCAACAACAACAACAATGTTGCAGACGACGACAACTACAACGACAACGGCAACGACAACAACCGACAACCGACACAGTCTGTGGCAGACCGAGACTATCGAAAACTCGAAATTTATTCGTTGGAAAAAGTTGATTTCAATTTTTTTTTCTCCTCTCTTTTATTTCGTTTTTTTTTTTTTGCTGGCCGTCTGTTGTTTGTGTCATTTGTTGTTGTTGTTTTTGTACTTATGCAGTCAAAAATGAATTGCGAAAAATGCCCACGAAAATTATGTTAACCAGCCGGCAGCTGTGTTCAAAATCCCACATCTACATCTTCATAGTATTCCTCCTCAGTTGTCTTGTCAGTCGCATAAGGCCAACAAGTTTAAGAACTGCAGAGTTGGCTATTTAGTGACTTGGGCAGCCAAAGAATTTGATGCAGAAACTATGCAAGACATTTTTTAGAGAATTTATTAATTAATTATCTGTCTAACCTAAACCTATATCAAAACTTTGTGTTTTCAAAATACAAAGGCAATCCTACAGCAGAGATGTAAAGATGAATAATGTGGGTTCTGTGTAGTTAAAGTTTTAACAGCAAAAATGTGAACCCGTTTAGTTAAGATTTATAGATTTTATATATATATAAGTTTTCAAGTGTTTTAATCAGAAACAAGGCCGTTATTCTCAACCTCTCAGCGTGTATACTCAAATCAGATATAGAATATAGATAAACCAAGAACACAAGCTCCAACAGAATTCAAACTTTATCGCCTCGAAGACAATTCATTATTGTTGAGTTATTTTATAGTTGGCAATCAACTCATAGAATTCATAATATATATATAGACTATTTGGTAAATCTTGTCTGCCTTATATAGGCTATATCTGATTGTTATATAATATTACCTACTCACCGTATTTCTGCCAAAAGCTTTTGCTGTGATTCTTCGATTCGGAATCTGTAACAAAATTTGTGTCGAAATTCGAATTCTCTTCGTATATCTCTGTGTAGAGTATGAATTCGACTCGTGCTGTTGTTGTCGATGTTGTTGACTGCTGTTGTTGTTGTTGTTGTTGCAGTTGTTGTTGCAGTTGTTGTTGTGGTGTCAAAGGTGATGCGTTGGTCGCTGTTTGGACCGTATCACGATTGAAAATTCGATGCGCAGCAGAAAGAGGAGTGTTGAGCTTGGTTGCTGTTGCAGTTGTTGTTGTTGTTGGCACTGCCGTTGCAGTTGCAACAGTTGTTGCTGTTTTAGTTGCTTGTAACAATGTAGCACGTTGATTAATATGATATGGCAGAAACATGGGCGCAGAGGCAAAAACAACATCAGTCGAGTGAGACGCGGCGCGACGACGACGACGACGACGACGCTGACGACGACCGCGACGATGTGGATTTGGATGTGGATATGGATGTGGATGAGGAGTTCGTGGGGCAGGCGAGGATGCGGGTGCAGGGACGTGAATCGCTGCTGCTGCTGCTGCTCTTGTTGTTGCTGTGGGTAATTTATTAAGCAAATTTGTGGCTGGCAGGGAAATATATTTGTATTTGGGCGACAACACTTTGCTCTGGCTGCGATTTATAATTAAATCTAACTTATTATTTGCACTATATACACTGTGAGAAACGTCACTATATACACTTGACACGTTTCCACTTGCGTCGCTTCCACTTGGCTTTCGATTTTGTTGCGTTTCCACCAGACTGCTGCCGTTGTGGCATGTCCGATAGTTTTTGTTGTTGATATGCCTGTTGCTGCTGCTGCTGTTGCTGATCCGCTCCTGCTTCTGCTCCTGCTGCTGCTGCTGTTGTTGTTCTTTCCGTGGCGCCCAAAAGTATGCTGTGTTTTCTATGCTGCTCTTGTTGTGGTTGTTGCTGCTGCTGCTGCTGTTGTAGTTGTTTTCGTTGTTGTTGTTGTTGTTGTTGTTCCTGTGCATGGGCACCGCGAGGGCTTGTGCCGATGACCACAATATGATTGTTGCCAGTAGCGTTAGATTGAACGCGAGCAATGCGTTTGTTGCAGAGCGGGCCCCCGCGGCGCCACTTCCTGAATGCTTGGGGGCCACAGCGTCAACTGTATGCGAATTGATAGTTCACTGCACCCAACGACCAACACAGGGCAACGGCAACGGCATGGGCAACAGCAGGGGCAACAACATCAACTGACCAACACCCAAGAAAGCCGACCACAAGCTCAGCGCCTGCAACGAGAAGTCAAATGTGGGGAAAAAGAGTTGTTAGACAGCTGAAAGCTAACCTTAACTATAATAAAATAAATAAAGAATATGCATGAATTTGGAATCATTAGAATCTAGTTTGGCCAAACGAATCGTATTTTGTGTAATGGCTTTGGATTGGTCTCAAAAATTGAGTAACGTTTCCCGCTCTAAATTTCAATCGGTTCCTGTTCCCGTTCTGATTCAACAACCCATAAGAATCTCCTCTGGAACCCTGGAAGTATTTTTATTAGCAGTACCTTATCCCAGCAAATTATCTTGCATATGATTTCGCTGAGTGCACTTTTGCTGTGTGGTCGCCTGCTTTTGGTATTCTTTTTATTTATGCTGCAGTCTTTGCTTTTGTTTTCATTTTCGTTTTCTGTCGTCTGTCCTTGCTACAATGTTTCTAGTCGCAACATAATTTCCCTCACTCCCCCTAATATGCAGCAGCAGGCGGGGTGGGGGCAACTCAGAGGGTGCCGCATGTTGGACTGGGGCGTAGATCAGCAGCAGACACGAGCATAAATAACGCAACATGTGAGTGTGTGTGTGTGTGTGTGGCTGTGTGTGTGTGTCGGCACTCTTTGCCAATTGCAGACAAACAAACACAACAAGCGACAAACGGTGGCAAACGGTGCGTATGTGCAACATTTCGCTCAAATTTATGTTGCACTTCTCCCGACTTCAGTTTTATTATCATCTCGACGTAGTCGTCGTCGTCGTCGTCTTCTTGGTCGTAGTCGCTGCTTACGAAACCAATTTTTGTCTATATTTATAATGCACAACAGCAAAAACAACACTCAGCATGCTTGGATCTATGAGGGTGGGGAAGGGAGGGGGTTCACCCCTTAGGTCTTGCCCCCGCACTCTTGTTATTATTGTTGCTGCTGCTGCTGCTGCTTTCTATATGACGAAAGATTACAAGCGGCACAACAACAACAACAAAAAATAGGCTAAAATTAAAGTAGCTAAATTAATGGCATAGTTGCTGTTGATGCTGCTGGTGCTTGCGGCTGCACAACCACTTCGCCGTGCCCCGCCGCCAGACAACCAGACAAGACAAATAAAAAAGGTGGAATGACTTTTGCCAGGCATTCTGCTTTCATGATGCACGATCTTAGATATAGACAACAACTGACTGTACTCCTCCCCCCTCCCATTCTCTCTCTCTCTCTTTGTCTCTCCCTCTCTCTCGCTCTGTCTCTGCCTCTCTTTCTCCAGTCCACACAGCAGTCTTAAGCTTCTGACTTGCTGTTCTGCTCACTAATTGTCTTTTGCAGTCCACAGTTGACATTATGCCGCATAATCCAAATGCAACTGACAGACAGACAGACGAAGAGGTCTACAGACAGACAGACGATTTGACTAGTTGGCTGCTTCATTTAATATGTTCCATGATCGACTGACATGTTGCTTACAATGTTGCACCCTAACAGCAACGTGTCACAGACAGATTGATGCACAAACAGACAGCAATGCAGACGGGGCAGTTAGTGAAGAGGGTGAAGAAGTTAGATGTGAAGGGGGTGTGGGGTGTGGGGGGCAAGTCAACAAGCAATTTAAAGCAAACGTCACGCTGATCGGCCAACCATCGGCTTTTATCTTCCAACATTAAATTCAACTTGCAGTCTCATTTTAAAGTGATTAATATATACCCTTTTTGGATACCTTCTTCAGAAAATATCTGTCGTGCGATAATATATATGTATATATATATTCATCGGATCGAATCACTACACTTTATAGCATATATGTACATACGTAGCTGTCGTAGAAATTGGCACTCCAAATTTGGCTTCTCCTCACTTAATATAATAAAAGATCACACTATAATTCCGTATCTGGTTATATGTCTGCAAGGCTATTAAATCTTCAACCCCTTCGTGCTTGTTATACCCTTGCAGAGGTATTATAATTAGGACATTCAGTTTATTTTGCGACTCCACTAAGTATATATATTCTTGGTCAGCATCAGTAGCCAAGTCGATTAATTGAAACTTTCCAGCACTATAAATCTCCCGGACTGGACGCAATATTAGCAGTCCAACTCCAACAGGGTCAGGATAAATTCCTACCTCACCTTAAGAAAATACTGGTTAGCAGATTAGAGCTCGTTTACTGGGAAGGTCTCCATCCCGAAGGCAGGAAGGAAAGACACTACCAATCCAAAGTTCTTCAGACCAAACTCACTAATATATAACAGTGAAAATCATATTACAGTCAGAAGGTAAACTCCGATCTGTAGGGTATTAACTCTTCGGCTAAGATAGCCGATTTTGTTTTCGTATTGAAATGCCTGGCGTATGAAACAGCAGAAGCAGCAGCAGCAGTCAGCCTCATCATCATCAACAACATCATGCTGCTGTTGCAAATGTTATTGTCTCCTGCAGCCCGCACTACTTCTCCCCCGTCGCTTGCAACATGCTCCCTTTGCTCCACAATTAGCCAAGAGCGAGACTGGCTACTGTTTCTTTTCATTTGGTTGTTGATCTCCTTTGGTGCTGCTTTTGTTGTTGTTGTTGCTGTTGTTGTTGTTGATCGTATTTTATTTTTTTGTTTGCTGTCTCTGCTGTCTGTGGTTGTTATGTTTTTGCAATTTATTTGATTGCCTCTTCATTTGGCTCTTCTCTGCTTTTTTTGTGTTGTTCTGTCTGCCTTGGACTGCCTGTCTGTGTCTTTATGTTGATTTTTATCACGTCACGGGCTCCTGGCTCTTGAGATCAACGTTAAGTTGCAATTCATGTTCCATCATAAAAACGCGTTCAGACCCATAACAATTAAAAAGTTCCCAAAAAATAAAAACCCCAGTCATAAAGTGCTACGAACTCGAATATCTTTGAGTCACTAGCAAATTTGCATAAAGCTAAAAATATATAATATTTCATTTTGAGTTGAGGTTTTGCCTCGAATTTGGGTCATTTATTTAGCCAAGATCGTTATGAGTTCTTCTATGTGATCCAAACTAATCCAACTGACCGGAAAAACCATATATTTCTTTCGAATAGAAACGGAAAAATAACAGAAATAATCACACAACAACAACAGCATTTGCCATAGGCGTGTTTTTTAGCTAATTCAAAAAAACATTCCAGTTTATTTTTAAACAAGTCGCTAAATTCTTTAATCTATTTTCGTCCACACAAATAAAACAGCAAAAGCTAACGCAGGAATTTGCAAGAATCAACACTGGTAGAGGGGATTGGGGGGTGTATGCCACAATAAAGGGTAGCCAACAAAATAAAATGTGCAACGTGCAGCGGCGATAACAAATGTTATCGATAGCAACATGGCATTTGTTCTATCGCATATTCTAGGTAACACAAGATGTGTTTTTTTTTAGTTTTTTTTTTTTTACCCTACCCATAATGGTTTGCTGAAGTGAGGTATGCTTAATCAACTATCTATATGCCTGAATACTCTGTGATATCGATGGGTTTACGGTCTTTACAACTCTTGCAAGATAGTTGCTTCGTACAACATTTTAAAGCCTTTTGCTCTTCTAGTAAAGCATGAGAAGGGGAAGCCATTTTGCTATTTTTTTGGTGAAACAACCATTAAGAACTATAATAAACTAAAGTTGTTCATTTTATATGTGAGATAATTGTTTTATGAGAGTGTCTGAAGCTCCGGCAATGCCGAAGAAAGACTTTCTTTCAGACTAGTTGTCTGTATTCTGTATTTTGTATTTGTAGTATTAGCTGTGTGCGCATACCAAAGTCGAACGCCAATTTGACATTGAGCAAACGTAAATTCAGTGAATTCCTGCGTAAATCGATGGAAGACGACCACGAGACCGCAAAGGCCCGCCACAGGCGCATGCAAAGGACCGACAGCCAGCCGACAGCAAGTAAATGAAAACAAATCAGAATAAACCGACAACCAAACCGAACCGAAACGCAAACGCTCCCCAAGGGGAAAGAGGGTGCAGCCGACAGAGATAGAGAGAGAGAGAGCGAGCGAGTGAGAGAGAGCACGAGAGCACGGGCGAGATCGGGAGAGCACTAATCAATCGGTCGAGGAGAGCGCGTAAGAATTTCACACATGACAGTGAAGAATGCGCCGGGCGGCAAGCTCCGATGAGGCGCGTCTAGTTGGACACCAAATTGGCAATCGTGGCTGGAATACACCTGTAAAACACACACTCGCACACACGAACACACGCACACACACCGCCACTGACACGATGTAACAGTTAGTTAGCAATTTTTTAACACAAACTTTTTCTTAATTTTTTTTTTTAATTTTTAAATTTATTTTGTTTTGGTTGCGCGCACAGAAATAAAAAAGAAGAACTGCCAATGAATGAGAATATTTGATATATATACGCAGCAGAACATATAATATAGATATTTATATATATATTATATATATATATGTATATGTATGTGTATATATGTGGGCGTTTTCGTAGGCACGCGTTATCGTGGCGAGACTCCGTTATTTCGTTAGACACCCTCCAATAATTGCAGTCTGCACTTATTTTGAATGTGCTGCGATCTTTTCGCAAACCTGCGCCGTACTGAACTCAATATATTCGCAGCTAACA